TATTTTAATTTAATGTGTTTTTCAAAATATATGTAATTGTATATGTACATGAATATATATACATATATATATATACATATTTTTAATTTATAATTTATTTTATAGTATAAAACAAAGTTCTTTGAATCTTTTTTCGTTTCAATATTTGAGTGTTTCTAGTATGAAATTATTTTATTTTTTTATTTGAATTATTAACGAAATTAATAAATTTAAATAATAAGATGATGAATTTATTCATAATATTTAAAATAAAATATAATATATTTATTATTATAAGATTAGTAGGTGAAGGGTTATAATTTATCATCTAAAACATTTAAGCATTAATTATACAATTTTTTTATATGTAGGTAATAATTTCAAAAATTTTTATTGCAATTTTATAAAGGGAATTCTAGAATATTATTTATATTTATTCGATTATATTCATATCAGTATAAAATTTTTATAAACATTTTTCTTTAATAGGCATTAACAACAATCGTGTTTTCGAAAACAGCTGATACGAAAATTACAGTTCTTTACGATTACTATTATAATACAAGAATTTGATTTCCATTTTTTTTTTTATAAAATTAATAATTACGTATCAGTTTTATTCCACAAATATAAAATTTTTAGCATTATTAAACTGTTGAAATGTAATAATTTCATTTACTATTGGGGAATCTTTTTATATATATTGATAACACACTCTTTAAATAAAGCATTCTTTACAATAGCAATCAAAAATATAATTGTAAACTATGTTACTAAAGTTTAAAATATTTATTCTTTTTGTAAAATTACTTTAAAATTCATTCTTAATACTGCATTGTATTTGAACAAAATTTACCCATCAAATTCTATTAATTTTATTCTTAATGTAGTTTACCAGTGGTTTTTGTATTATAATAATACTGAATTTATATTTGATTTATCATAATTATGTTTCAAATTAAGTATAGTAGTAAAGAATGTTAAAATACACGATAATATATTATTATTATAATTTGAAATAATTAATATTATTCTATTATACTTTTAAAGCAAATAAAGCCATAAAAATTATAAATTGCATTGAAGAGAAAAATTGTTAGGCTCAAATTCAAATTGATCATAAGTATATAAAAAAATTATATCCATATCTATATTCGTTTTTTTTTTTTTGATATTTAAAATAATATTTTAAATTTAATTTTCATAAAAAAGTTTAAGTATAAGTTTATATTTTATGTGAAATGAAAAATTAAAGAAAGATTATTGAATTAAATAAATTATCAAGCATTTTAAATTTTAAATATGTAGATCAAAGTATTTAATTAGTTTTTTAAAAGTGCCAAAATAAATTTCCAGTTATATATTATTTAAATATAAATTAAATTTTATAATATTTGCAATAAAATTGAATTTAAAATATTTATATGCATTTTAAATATTTCATGTAAAATATAAACTTTGCTTTTATAATGGCATTTTTAGATTAAAATGTTAGTGTCAGTTGAATCAGAAGGTGCTTAATAATTTGAATTATATTAATTAAATATATTTAGAAAAAAAAAAACAAAGTTATTGTAAAATAGTTTATTAGATTCTTAATTTTTAGTTTATTTGGCTCCTGTTTTAATAAATATTATTTTACATACGTATAATATATTTGTTTTGTTTAGTGCACGTTCATAATCAGTTACAAATTTAAAGTAGATTTTAAAATCCGTCCACAACTAGTCACAATTTTAATTTTTTTTTTACCGTACATATACAAACATACATTTATTTTTAAAATTTGATTTGAAATACATAGTTAATAAAGGAAAAATAGAAGAAAAATTATAAAATATATATTTACCATTTTAGTATTAAAGAAACGCGTTTAGTTAGGTTAAAAAAAATTAAAGGCATTGTGAACATTCTTATGTTTAAATATAATTTTATTAGATTTTTATTAATTATATTTTGTTTTAAAAATATATTCATTTTAAATATTTTAATTTATATATATATATAGATTGTATAATGGAGTAAGAAAAAGTAAATTTCAAATTAGTATTTAAAAACAAAAGTTAGATGAAATAATTGGTAGGAAATATAGAAGTATTCAATATTTTCAAAAAATTAATTTAATTTTTTTTGTTTATCTTGAATTAATCGTAATAATTTACAGAAATTATTTTTTTTTTCAGTAATTATAATAATAGTTTTTCCAAACAAATTTCTGTCAAAAAATTTAAAAATTTTTAAATTATTCAATTTCATATTGAATTTAAATTAAATATTTAATAATAATTAATTAAGAATTCAAACAAAAAATAAATTAAATTAATTTTGAATTTGAATACTTTTATTAATTATATAGTAATATATTTTTAAATTACTTTAAAAGAAATTTATTCAAAGGTGGCCATATACTTTTAAAAATATACAACTATATTAATATTTTTAATCAAATTCAAAGCAAATAGAAGATTATTAAAAACAAAAGTGTGTAAAATTTTTAATCTCAGGTGTCTTATATAGTAACTAATATTTAAAAAAAAAACAAAAGTATAAACTGTTATATAAACTCACAATAATGGAAAATAATTGAAAATATAATTTCTAACGTTTATAATATTTTTGTAAATTAAATTCTAAAACAAAATAGATTATTAATTTTTAAAAATGAAAATTTTATCATAAGATTTTTTACTCATATTAATTTGTGTAATAACATAAATGTTGTATGTTTATTTTTTTTTTTTAATTTACTTAACGCGTTTTCTAAAATTGTATTTTTTTTTTACTAATTGAAAGATCCAAGAATTTCAGTGAAATGCAATGTAGATTCAATTATGTTTTAAAAGAAAAATTTCAAATAGTTCCTTAGAATTTTATTTAATTTTATTAAAGTTTCCCTTCTATACAAATTGATTGGTAATAGAAAAACTCGCAGTAAGATTTCGAATTGATTAGGGTAAAGGTTTTGGGGAATCGAAATTCTCTGAATTTTTTGAATTTTAAAATTTTTTTAGCCACATTTATACTACATACTTTAGTTTTTATCCTATTAAAACGAAATTTTATTTAACAATAAAAATTTTAGTTATCATTTTTAAAAAGTATGTGTTCTTAAAACCCAATCAGAAAAAAATCTTTGTGTATTTAAAGAATATTATACAATTTTTATAGACAGGCCATATTAATTTTGTTGTAAATTGAATTTTTGCATTTTGCTGAATTTTCATATTTAAATGAAAATTTTTTTGAATAATGATAAAATACTAAAATGACGAACTATTATTAAAATTTTTTTTTATTATTATTAATTTGGTGTTTGAATATTGTGCGTGTTTTTTTTTTTAAGCTAAAATCAACATTGACATACTAATATCAAAATTTACTTAATAAAATATGTGTTTTTTAATAAAATTAAAAAGAAATTAATGATAACGCAAAATATTTACTTATGTTTAAATTGTGTTTGAAGCAAATTAAATGCGAAAGCAATGGGCTTTACTTTTTTTTTCTTTGTACTCTTAATTTGTAAATATCAGCTAAATGTTTTGTCTTTAGTTTTAATTCATATTCGTTCATTAGATTAAATTGGAAATAATAAAATGAAAATATATCAACTATCAAAATCAAAACATACATACTACATTATGATGTTTAAAAAATGAAAAAAAAAAAATAATAAAAATTTCTTTTCTCGAAATATATTTTTACTCTAAAATACTGCGCAAGTAAATAATTAAAGTACATTAAGATCATGCAATCAAATAATAAAAAATACCAAAAAATTTTTTGAATTTTTTTTTATTAATTTTATTTATATATGACAATATAGATGTGTTAAACTCAAAGTTAGTTATTTTAAAAAAAAAAATAAAATTCTAGCAATTTCTAATGAAAATATCAATATTCAATTATTATTCAAAGTAATTATATTTACTTTTTAAGTTTAAACTGGGTATTCTACTTAAATAATCACATTTAATCAAAGACAAATCCGATATTGTGCCATAATCTATATGGAAATAAAATGTTTTTGTTGAATTAAAAAATAATAACAAAAAAACATATATATTATATTACTAATATTGAAACAAGATAAATTAAAGATAATGTAGCATTCCACTGCAAAAGTTTTTAAGCCAAATTAAGATTTACTTTATAGTTTCTATATATACCCGTGCTTCATAAGCCGTCAAATCAAATTTTTAGACTACAATGAAAAGGAAATGTGCTTGTTTAAATTTAAAATAAAAAAAATTATAGCATTTTACATATCATAATGAAAATCATAAATATGTAAAATACACAGAACATATTATATAGACCGATTTTGAAAAATATAATTTAATGGTCAAATATACATCAAATTTTTATTAGATGAAATCAGATGTAGATATATGTTAAATAAAATGGTATATTTACAACATTTATACGAAAATTAATCAATATTCAATTAAAACATAGACTAAAACTTCTGGGGCCTTACTATTTAATATAAATTTAATTTATGCTATCTTACCATTTTTTCGAAATACGAAAATTAAATTACATAGTAAAGTCGGCCCACCCCCCCCCCCCCCCGTATTTGATGGAAATTGAACATTTAATTTTTATAATAACAGTATATGTATGTGTACAGGATGCAATTCTCGAGTTCAACAATTTCTGTGTACAATTCATAAAAAAATAACTAAAACAACATTTTTTTTTTTTATTTAAAGTATAACGTTTTGTAGTCAAGTACCCTCCATAGAATCATAAAATATATAACTATACTTTTTTTATATAATTTCAATTTAAATATATAAAAATATAATTTAGTTTAATAATCTAGAGTATCTTTTTTTTTCATGTATTCGTCCCTCCTTATTTTTTTTTTCAATTCACGTATATTAATTTATATTATTTAATTGGTTTATTTAATTATATTTGCAATAAAATATAAAACATAAATTATCTTAATTAAAAAAAAATAATTTATTTAAAGAAGAAAACAAAAATAATAATTCATATTATCACTTTCATAGTAGGTGCAATTAAAAATCAAAGGCGTTTGGCTAATAACAGAGATCATCCGTATCAGAGAACTGGGGCTCTTGCATAAAAAATTAAAAAAAAAAAAATTTCAATGCTAATTTCGAAATTGTTATTTTAAAGAAAATTATATATATATATATATATTATTAGCATAAATAATTAATTATTTCTACATTATCAACAAATTTTTAAAATTAATATTAATGATTAAAAATTGATTATAGTTTGAAAAGAAAAAAAAAATAATGAAAACAAATTAAGCAATATTAAAAAAAAATATATAAAAAAACAAAAAAGAGTCGACTAATATTTAATAAGTTAAATGAAATTCATATATTACAAAAATATATGAAAATAAAAAAAGGATAACAATTTTATACAAAATATATATAATATAATATATGAAATAAGAGCCCCACTTAACGTTATTTCTGAAATATAATAAAATAAAACTGCACAATGTCAGCTAAAAAACACAAAACAAAAAAGGTTAGTTTATTATAAAAGATTTAAATTCAATAAATATTAATATTAAAAAAAAAAAAAAAGAAATTTGAAAAAATAAATACACACTTTTTTTTTCAATTTTAACATTTTATTTATATAACCTCAATTACATTTTATTTAATATAAATTTGTAAAATAATAATATCAAAAAACTCGTACAAAAATTAATTATTGTAAAGTCAGTCTGTTTTAAACTTTAAATCTGCGACCTTATTCGTTATATATAGATAGCATTATGAACAAAATATAATTAAACGAGTTTATTGAATTTTTATAAAATTTACTTTATTTATTTTTTTTATATGCTTAATATATTTAGATTTTAATGTAATTGGGGTAAAGAGTATTATAAAAAATATATTCTTTTCTTATTTATAAATAAGAATATTTAGAAAAACGAAAATTTTTTTTTTAATATGTAAATGATTATGTATATAAATAAATCTTAGAATTTTTAAGGAATTATTTATTTTCAAGAAGAAAAATATATTTGCCAAATTCGCCGTAGGAAAAGCTTTTTAAAATATATATATATATACACATATATATCTCAAAATACAAAATGAATTTTCTAATGTTGTTGACTTGTGCCTTTGTGAATAAAACAAAACAAAAAAAAAAATATTTAATTTAAAATTAAGTTTTTGTGTCAATTTCAATTAGAATTATTTTAAAATAATTATGGTATATTAAAAATAAAACTATAATATAACAAGAAATTGAAAGAGTATATATATACTATTTATAAATATATTTTATATATTATATAGCAATGTATGTATTTTAAAAATATATGCACATAATTTAGAAAAAAAAAAAAACTTATTTCTTTAATATTATATAAGCACCAATTTTTATGTAATATATAATTATTATATAATATGTATATATTATTTATACATACATTTTATATTTATAATATATACACTTATATATATATATATATATATATATAGAAACACGTCAAAAAAAATATATATATAAATCAATAAAAAAAAAGCCAGGAAAATATTTCTATATTTTAATATTTTTTTTTATATTATAAAAATTTTTACATTTAATTTATTTTCTTAATTAATTTGTTTAAGATTTAAGATAATTTTTTTTTTTTTTAAGTTATATTTAATAGTTATTTTATAAAAGATATTACAAAAAAAAAGGAACAAAACAAACGTGACAATTTAATATTATATAAAAAAAAATTTTAATAAAAAAGAATGTAAGCAAAAGAAAATATTTTTTTTTTATATTTAAATATGTGTAAAAAATTAAATAAAGCAAATTATTATTGTAATTTTTTTTTTTATTTTTTAAAATTTGAGTTATACTTTTATATTATATTATACGAAAATGAAATTAATAATATGCAAATTATTTTATAATTGATAAAACATTAATTTTTGCATAATGTAAATTATTCATAGTAAAAAAAGCATAAAAAATTATTAAAATTAATTAAAAATTGTGGTGTAATTCATAATGTCAAATACCAATCGAAAATATTTGCATATGGTGGTCAGTAACCGGTAATCAACATTTTATGCTAAAAAAAAACCTTTGACACATCAATTTTCGTATACAACTTTTGCATGCAATCGGTTGACAACACTGCTTTGACAACAAATTATTTTTTCTTTGAATAATTAATTTAATTTGAATTGAATTGAATTCCATTTTGCACAAAAAACAAAATCTGTAGCTGAATTTTTTTTAATTACAAAAATAACACGGACACTTGACAATATAAATTACCTGACATTTTGTTTTTTGCATTATCAGCTACACTACAAATGTAAACATAATAATTGCTGACAACATTAAAAGTTACAATGCTTTTATTAACTCCAATATCGATTAAGATGCAAAAGATTCAAATTAAATTTAAAGAAAACATTCCTTACATTAAAATTATAAAATTATAGATATTGTGAGTAGTAATAATATATATAACATATATATCTTTTTAAATAAATTTATAAAATTTGCATAATATTAATTTAATTTTGTCTACAAAAATATTAGCAATATTTATATTGTAAAAAATTTAGATGGGAAGCGGGTTATACAATATTTTCATTTTTTTTTTTCATTTACAATGTTTTATATTTTTTATGTTTCTAAATATATAAAATATTAAAACAATAATTTTGAATAGTAAGTCAAAATATACTGTGTTATAATAAAAAAAAAAAAATAAACAATATTATAAAAAAAAAAACTGTTTTTGCAATAGTTTTTTAAAAAAAAAAAACGTGATTTTATTTTAAAATCTTTTATTAAAATCAATTCATCACACATACTCGTAGTACCGAATATAAATATTTTTTTTTCATAAAAAAAAATTTCAATATAAAATTCAAGTTTTTCGGAATCAACCTATTTTAATAGATTGAAAGAAGAAGTTAACAAAATTAATATAATATAGTGCCATTTATATAAAAATATTTACAAAATACAAAAAAAATAGAAGAGAAAATATGAAAACTATATCAAGCAATATAGAACGGATGAATTTTAAACTGGGGACCATATCACAACAATATACAATACAGAGTTGGACAAAATATTGTGTGGAAATTTGTTTTTCAAGAAAAAAAAAAAAAACTCAACCCAAGGAATGTGTAATATTCAAGATTATGTACTTAATTATATTATTTATATATATATATATCTAATATATATTTTTTTCTCTTAATTGTATGTAAATGTTAAAACTTTTTTTTTTTTATTTAATATAACTACTTTTTTTCATGTTGGCCTTATTATTCTAAATAACAAATTTCCAAAAAAAAAAACATCATAAATTTAATATAAAATTCGAAAATCCTTTTATTTATTTTTTTTTTTTCAAATAATAACAATATTACTATTGCATTCTTGTTAAAATAACACACAAAAATATTATATTTAAAACTTGAATAATAATAATAATAATTTTTTTTTTTAACTATTCTTATAAATAAAAATTTAAATAACTCACTTATATATACATTTTATTAAAACATGGTATTTATAATAAAAATTCATAGGTTTATGTTAATTTAGAAAGAAAAAAAAATAATTTTTTTAAATATTAATTTTAAAAAAAATATAGAACTAAAATTTAAAATTATAGAATTAATATTGATTTTTTTTTTTTATTAATAAAATGCAACTGAACGCAAAAATTTCATTTTATTAAAATTTAAAAAAAAAATATATATATATATATAAAAGAAAAACTATAAATAACTAATAAAATTTATTTTAATTAACTTGTTTGTATTTAAAACAGAAAATATTATTTATTTATTCATAAAAAAATGGGTTTTGGGTAGCATTTAAATAATTTAACTATTTTTTTTTTTTGCAAAAAAAAATATTTACTTACATACTTCTGTTCATTAGATTTTCAAATTAAAAATTTAAAACATAAATTTTCGTATTAAAATAAATGTCTTTTTTTTACAATTAAAATATTTTTTGAATAAATTTATAAATAATTTGTTTGTAAATTATTCGAATTTATTAACAAAATTGAAAACATGTTATTTGCATGTTAAACTGCAAAAATATTAATATTAATTAATAATAAAATGAATTTAAGTAAATTACGAGTATTACACTAAAAAAATTATTATTTTACATACAATACAATTCTTAGACTTACTTCTAGGGTTTTCGATCAGAACATGATATAATTTGACAAAAAAAAAAATTATGAATGCAGTTAAATTAAAAAAAATAATTTAATTTTTTCAGTATTTTTAAAAAATTATCCTTGAAGAACATTAAAACTAGTCAATTGTTCTAAAAAAATGTTTTTTAACAAAATTAGAACTTATTATAAAACAGTTATTCACTTCTCAAGATGATAAAATTTTCTATGAAGGAAAATTTCTCAATTCGAAAATTTTACTTCATGTAAAATGTAGTTTTTATACCGTTCCGTTTCAAGTTGAAAATAAAACATCTACACATATTCAGTTCTATATTTCATATTTAAATATTCATATTGGTTATTTTCATATATAAGTGATTAATGCTAATTACAATTAGAAAAAGTGTATATCTTATTTAATATAGAAAAATATGTTAAAATTTTTTTTTATTTAGTAGCAACATTTTAAAATACTAATTTTTTAAGCCATCTTCGCTTAACTATCACTAGTTAATGTTTCAGTAAAAAAAAAAATAATGCCAAATACAGATGCCAAAAATGCAGATATCATGTTTTTGACAGAAAACCCCTAGACTTGTAAAAATTATATACTAGAACATAATTGCTTTCAACTTTGAATTATATATTTGAGCAATTATTGGTTGTCGTAATATAGAATTTAAAATATTTGATAAATAAGTAAAATGGAAAATTTTTCCTATATTCTCTGATTATTTCAAAATAATTTTTATATTTAATTATTTAAACTTATTACACAAAAAAATTTATAATTTTCAAAATATGTTATGTTATGTATGTAATTTAATCAGCACCTGGACCATACAGGTCTTCTGTGCATCACCGCACCACATCTATAGAACTCAAACAATTCAGGTTCCCGATAAATTTTAACAATCCCGTCATGCATAACGAATCCAAGCATAAGGCCCTGAGAAATCTGTATTTAGTGCAGGCCAAAATTTTCAAAATAATAATCTATCAAAAGTAAAATAAATTAATATTTTTTTCTGATTTCTATATATTATTAATTATATTTTGTTTCAATATAATTTTATATATTAATTTTGAAAGACATTTTTTTTAATACGTGAAACAAATTGTTGTATTCTACATTATAATTCACATTCATAATTGAATATAAAAAAAAAAAAAAACTATAAAGCATATTTAAAAAGAATAATTTAGTCCTCACAAATAAATGGCTTATTTAATGTTATTAAACCCAAGAAAATTAAAATTATTTAAATTTATTGAATTTCAAAAAATTTTTCAATATATTTTAATTTTATAATTATATAAAATTTCAAATTAAAATATAAATAAGTATTTGTAGAAAATAATTTGATTTTTTTAATAAATTATGAAATTTAGATTTATATTCATTTAATTTAAAACTAGCTCATTTTGTAATTACTAAAAATTTAGATAATTAAAGTCTAAAGTGTCTACTTGAATAAACTAATGTATTAGTTTTGTGTATAATTTTCTTTTTTACTAAAATTTTAAATAAAATATTAAATAAAATTATAAAATTTTCTTATAAATCTACATACTTATTTATTATAGTTTCATGTTTTTTTTTGCAAAAATTCTGTTAATTTTCTTTTCCAACTAATATATTTGGTATACAATTAACTAAAAAAAAAACCAAAACTTTGTTCTTGGGGGGTAGAGGGCTATAATTATTCGTATTAATATTATATTATTGTATTAGTTAAAAAGTATGTAAAGAATTAAAGCCTTTATAATTTTTTTTTCTTGTTATCTTTAAAAATTCTAGTTAAATTATTTTTAAAATTAATTTCTTTTGTAATTTAATAATTTATAGGTTCATATTTATTATTATTGTCAGCCTATTAACTTTGAAAACAAACAAAAAAAATTCTATCCATTATTATAGTAATGTTATATAAAAATGTATAATTTGTTTTAACATAATTTATTAATTTTTTTTTTTTTTATTAATTTGTGAAAATATTATACTGAAATATTAAGCCTGTGTACTTAAAAATAAATTAAAATATATACAAATATGTATGTATGTATTTTTGAATATACTAAGTATATGTTACAAAAAAAATTATATAAATCTTAATTTTATTAATATTGTTTTAAATTTTTTTTTTAATTTTTATTAAATTTAATTATATCATTACCATTAATATTTACTTAACGATGAGTGTCATGTATGTAAATTGTAAATTAAATATTTTTAAAAGATCAACTTACAATTTATTAATATTAATATGAAAATTTCAATAATATACATTTTATTATATG